TGAATAAGGAAGATTGGAGAAGAATTGATGCCTTTGATTTATAGTGCTGGAGGAGAATATTGAAAGTGCCACGGGCTGCCAAAAGAACCAATAGATCTGTTTTGGAAGAAAGGCAGCCAGAGTGGTCCTTGGAGGCCAAGATGACCAAACTTTGTCTCTCATACTTTGGACATATTGTCAGGAGGGACACGTCGCTGGAGAAGGATACCATGTTTTGTAAGGTAGGAGGGTCAGAGAAAAAGAGGAAGCCCCTCAATGAGATGGATTGGCCAAGTGGCAGCATCGATGGACTCAAGTGTGACAACAGTAGTGAGGTTGGCCCAGGATCGGGCAGTGTTTTGTTCTGTTGTGCATAGTTCACTATGAGTCTATGCTGACTTGATGGCACTTAACAACCACAACAACAAGGTCAGTTTGAACTCTAACTTAACTCTTAACTTAGGCACTTAACAAGAACAATAAACTTTTATGGGGAGAATTGTATAAGAATGAAAAAACATTCATGACCTCTCATCTTAGTTTTAACTTTAGATTGTGAATGGTGGTAACTATAGGGCCAGTGATATTCTTACTGGGAGTACTAAAATGCAGCTCTTCCATTCAAGAAAGGGATCTTGCCTTTTACTGATTAATAGTACAGTGAGGCAGAGTTTCCAAATGAGCAAAGATTTATTATTGCAAACAGGCTTGCAAGTAGAGACTAGAGGGCTTAATGCAACATTTATTTCTTCAAATAAAGGCTTTATTGGGTTTTTAAAGGTTTGGGGTAGGAAAAAGACATCTTGTTTATTCATAGGGATAGGCAGAGATTACCAGGAAATGACCCGTTTAGGAAGGGTCACGCTAATTGGATGTGTGAGCAGCATTTCTTTAAGATGGATCCCATCACAAAGACCTCTGATAGGACCAGGACAAAACTTATTTTGAGATGTTGAGCATGTGTGGTTATTTGGGACCCTAGTTCAGACTGTTCCGAGGGGCTGACATTCCCCTTTGCACCAGTAGAAGGTTTGTCTTTTAAAAAGTTCTGTCTGGGGTACTAGGTAAACCAGTTCCACCCATAGAATATCTCACAAGGAAGTAAAAATACAGAATTTGTATGGGTGGTCTTCCTTAATGACAAGTCCCAGAAAATTTGGAATGTTTATGGGTGGTCTTTCTTAATGTTATGTTCTAGGATGTGGCTACTCAGCTATGTGGCCTGGGCATGTCCTGCTCATCTATACAATTGTTCAAGCAAACAGGGGAGCAGGCATCAACATTCCTCAGGATTTTAGTCACAAGATTTCAGTCAATAAGTGGCTCATGTTTAATCCTGATTTTTGGAACCGTCTTTCCCCCTGTCTCAGTATATTAAAAGAAAATAATGAAATTCTTTTAATAACAGGATTTTTTTCATTGATATTAAAGATTGCGATTGTTTTTCTCTTTTTTGGTAGTTCAATTTAGCGTGTTAAAAATTTAGAATTGATCATTTTAGTATCCTTAATGCTAACTCTTCTAATTCCTCCCTACAAGAGTTTTTTAAACATTCCGTTTTTGCCCATTTTTGTCCCTAATGTAATATATGTACTTGTATCTCAGTTTTTGTAAGTTTTCTTCCCCTTACCTTCTTGAGTTGGTTTTGGAAGTTGTAGTAGAAGGAACATAATCAGAGAAATTTACAACATAGAAATTTGCAGCCAGAGAGATTTGGGTTTGACTCCTAATATATTTATGCCCTTTGACATGGGCAAGTTATTTGAGTATAATAATTTTGAGCTTTATCCTTGTCATGTAAGATTAAGATGATTATACTTTGTTATTGAAAAATGGTGGCTCAGTGCAACCTGCATCAAGAAAACAAACTACTGGGAAGCAGAAGCATGATAAAGCAAGAAAGGCTTACTGTATTACAGATATACTGTAGGTGAAGGGACTGCATGTTCTCCAGAGATTTATAGGGATCTTGGGCATGGGTGGGAGTCTGAGGAATCTCAGAAACTTTAGTAGTATTCTTTGTATCTCAGGTGGTATTGATAGATCCAAGGAATTTCAGAAACTTTATTGCTATAATAGTTCTCAGAGTAGGGGTTAACTCTTGTTTAACCTAAAGGAAGTTAAAAACCACAGTGTTAATTTGTAGTTGCCTTAGCCAATTGAGCTTTCACCTATTTAAATATATTGTTGTAATAAATGCAATAATTTAATCCTGATATATAACAATATGCTCTATAAAACTGATGAATTTTCTTTCCTTCCCCATTCCACCCCATTGGGATGAATTTTGTTTTATACGCTTATATAATATACTTTAATGATCTTTTTATTGCCAAAGGGAATATTTTAGTATATTCCCTTTGGTTTCAATAGGAGTATGTTTTGATGTAGTTTGTTATGTGATTTTTTTTTTTCCTTTTTTGGTAGCCTTTTTGTAATCGGCTGGTAAGATTAAAAAAAAACATTGCATACAACATTAATTCTTTAGCTTAATCCTTTGGTAGGAGATATCCTAACGTCTTTGCTATGTTAAAAATTAATTGAAGTTGATAGGCCCTTATTACATATTGAGAACTCAGTTTAAAACCCTTCAGGAAAACATAAAATGTTAAGGAAGATTCCTGTTTTGATTTAAATATATATAATTCTTCAGATTTTTCAGTTAATCAGTTTTTAGTTCATTATCATTTTATTACCTTCAAAGATACTGTTTAGCAAAAATATAAATTTTTAAAGTAAATCCCTAATATCAAATATAAATTCAGAATTTATTCATATTTCCCTCCTTTTGTTATATCAATTGAAGTTTTACTTTTAAATCATTAATAAGCAGTAAGAATACATTAGTATGCATAGTTTGCCTTAAAAACACATGTTTGTAGTCTTTTCTCTTGGAAAGACTTATCTAAGAAAAAATTAAAACTATGAAATTAAAAATCTAGTCTCATCACTCAGGTCTAAAGACAGTGAAAGAATTTCAGCTTGAATATGAATATATTTTTTGGTTATTCAGACTTTTGAGAACAAATGTTTATTAGTCAAATATTAGACTTCTACCTAAAAAGCTAAAGATGCTTATAAGGGAGCACAGAGATGATACAGAATATGAATATGAAAGTAAATACTGCTTCGCTTTCATTTTACATTTTGTGTTCCATACTTTCAAGAAAATTAAAAAGGGAAGGAATCTAGTAGAATGCATGGTAAAAGATCATTTATCAATTCAAATACATATCAAATAAATATGAATATAGAGAAGTTCTTTATTTTATAATAATTAGTATAAACAAAAGAAATATTTTAATATAATTTTCATTAACTTTTGTTATTTTCGTGATTTTATAGGAAAGAAGCAACAGATTTTCATGTTGACCATCAATCAAGACCCTTTTTTAAGTAGGTACTTAATTTGAGAGTTAACAGTATTCTGGAACGTTATATTTGCACAATTCAAAAACTTGTTATATTACCATAATCTGTCAAAAGAACCAGAGTGATATTTTGTAACTGCACAAATTTTTTTTTAAAGAATTGTTTTCTCAGTTCTTTTGTTAAATTATAATTTGTGTATCTTATCATTAAATACCTCAAACTTTAATCAAAAGCAAATAAAGTGATTCGTTGAAATTATATGGAAGTTTCTTTTCTAGAATTCAACAGATTAAGAAGCTAGTGATATATTTCATATTGAATGTTTATTTATTCAATATATATCACTCTAAAATTTTGAGTCTTATATGCATAAAGTAATATTCATAGATTCCTATACTTCAGCTAGTTAGCTATATAAATTTTGTTTCTTGAAATAGAGCCTGTTTTCTAAATATGTGGAACATAAGTAAGTTTAAGTGCATAATGTGTATGCTCATATTACTATTGACAGACAGAGACGTGTTTATACCTCTGATAAGGAAAGATGCTATATATTAGCCAAACTGCCTTGATAGACATGCCACACAGAGCAGTGGGTTTTTAACAAGTTTTATCTATGAAAATTGTTATCTTATTGATTATTTCAAATCAATCATAAAATATTCCCAAGACTTGTAGGAAACTCATGAAAATTATACTTTGTTAGGGAGTGTGGTGGCACCATAGGCTAAGCACTGGACTTTGGACCACAAGGTTGATAGTTTAAATCCACCAGCTACTCTATGGGAGAAAGATGAGGCTTTCTGCTCCTGCTAAGAGTGGGAACTGACTCCACGGCATTTAACGTTCTTTGTTAGAGTCTTTGTTTCTAACATTGAATTATAACATCTAGTTTTAATGTATTATATGTAATGACTGTGGAGTTCTGATGTGGCACAGGACTGTTAACCACAAGGTGAGTGTTTCAAACCCACCAGCCACTCCTCAGAAAGTTAGACAAGTTGCTATGAGTTGGAACCAACTTCAGGGCACTTAACGAATTCAACAGCACATAACCACCAACCTTAACCATATAACAACTATTCAGTACATTTTAATCCAATGGATGAATAACTCATTTCCTGCTATTGGGGAAAACATAACAAAAGATGCAGCTGCAGTAATTGGAAATAGTTTCATGAAGCAGGATCCATTATGGTCAGGCTCCTGTTCTCTCTTCATTCTATACCACATTTATATCCTAGGCCTGCTCCACTATGTATTTTGGTTAATCTTTGTTAACAAGACACTTAGATTATCAGTTTTTTGAAGGCGGGATCTTGTTTTATAGTGTAGATTCTGATATAGGTAATCACAAGTGTTTATTGAATGGATAAATGCTGCTTTGTTCCCTTCACTTGGGTTCACTAAGTCTAATGTTTTGTTTGTTTATGCAGTGAAGACATAGCACTATATGCATGTGGGGGTGTGAATACTTTGTACATACTATTTCTTAAAAATAAACTGGAATGATTTACATTGGAAGCACAAGGGAGGGGTAGGTCATATAAATGTGGCTTATGAGGGAAACAGTCAATAGTTAATGGGCTTAAAAGGACCTGTCACATGATGCTTGCTCTTTTCTCCAGGAGGGTTTTGTCTTCTCTGAATTTGCATGGCAGTTACTCATGGACTTAAAAAAAAACAACAAAAAAAAACCTTTGTCCCTGCTAAACACAGTAGGAGGGATGGTATCACTTATTTCATAGTTAAACTTTGTATAGATACTTTGTGTACATACAGAAGTTAAAAATATAATGATTTTTTATGCCTTTCACAGTGACTCAGTACTGTATTTTTAGTAAAGAACCTCTGTGTGTACTTTAATATTATTTTAAGGTAGGCATAACCCAGAGTAGCTTTTATAAAAGGATATTTTTCTTAGACCTCTTGATTTCTGTTTTCCTTATTGCTAGAACAAATTGAGTTTTGTTTTGTTTTCAATTTGGGGATTATATTATAAACATAATAAGATAAAATTTTACTACAAATATATAATAAGGCATTAGTTTTCTCACTTTATTATGAAACTGTATTTGACTGCCATGGTAAACTACAGAAAAGTAAAAAGAAAGATCCTTCAGAGCAACAGAAACAATATACACTGTAACTCAGTTTGTAATGATTTTTCTGCTAACAGTAATTGATGAGGTGTTACTAGTGGTTTGTAGTGATTTAGGCCACTGTAAGACACTCAATTGATAAAATTGTACATTTCATGTGTCTTTCACTATGCCCAGTAACTCTGATATTGTAATGTTCATGCCTGTATTAAAACAGATTGTATTGTATTCTCATAAGAAAGATGCTTCATTGACAGATTAATGAAACAAGTAAGTTCTTTACCTGTTTTATAGTGAGCTGGTCCAGTTTATTACAAGTGGCCCAGTTATTGCCATGGAAATTTTAAGAGATGATGCTATATGTGAATGGAAAAGATTACTTGGACCTGCAAACTCTGGGGTAGCACGCACAGATGCTCCTGGAAGCATTAGAGCCTTATTTGGAACAGATGGCATAAGAAATGCAGCTCATGGTCCTGATTCTTTCGCTTCTGCTGCCAGAGTAAGATGTTTTAGTATTGCTAAGTTCTGCTTTGGTTTTGTTCATTGTTTTATGTCAAAATGAAACTTTTTTTTTTTGTCACTAGTGACTTAAGTTGGCTATATACATATAATCGAGTAGTAAAATAATTTTGAACTTTTGTCTAGGATCAAACAGTGTTCCCATGATATGGTATCTTTGGGAACTATTACCTTGGTCAGGGCAGGGATATATGGTTGAAATATATTTTGTTCAATTAAAACATTTATTGGCACATTTCTTCTTCCCTAGACTTAAATTACTGACACTCATAATTATTTGAAGCGCTGGTGGCATATGGGGGTAGGCTAACACCAGGATCAGGATTTCAAACCTCAGGAGAAAAATAAGTATCTGCCTACAAATAGAGTTACAGTTTTGGAAACCCTATATAGAGTCGCTGAGTTAGACTCAACTTGATGGCGGTGGGTTTGGTTTGGGTTTAAAATTGTTTGAATTATTTAATCAATGTAAGCATAGCAGATTGTGATTATCAGTACCAATACCAGTTGTCATGGAGTTGACTTCAGCTCAGGTGACCCTATGGGTGTCAGAGTAGAACTCTGCTCCATAGGTGTGAAAATAAATGGCAGGAAACTATACCTCGCATGGTACTTTCTACTTAGCTGGGTTCAAGAATTCATTTCAGTGACCACCTCAGATATATTCACAGTTATGGGGTTTATTAGAGAAGTTAACAGTTTACAGTGCAGCATCAGAAAATGCTCAGGGCACAATTCTTCTAGCCTTTCCTCAACCATGCCCACAGGGAGGCCTTTCTCTGTCCAGGCAGTATTGCAATGCTCTTTTAGGACTGCTGATAAATGATTACGGGACACACCACTCCACCATAATAAGCCTTAGTCCAAAGGTGCTTGGCTCTAAATCCTGGGACCAGCAAGTCTAGCTACCCCAATTAAGTGCCTGGAGGCACCCCATTCTGTAAGCAGGCCTCCTTGCCCAAAGTCACTCACTTTACTTGCTCCATGGCCTGGGAAGGGTCCTGCTCTATCTCATGCTCTGGCTTTTGGTCTTGTTTCTTCCAATAGCGCAGCTTCCTGCCCCTCAGTCACTGAGATCCTTGAGTCCAAAGTACGCACTCTTGTCTCTTTTTCTTTGATGATAGTGAGATGGCTTGTTTCATACCCAGCAGAATGGCAAAATTGAGTAATCACAATTAGCCCTGTCAACAGTCACTCCCAACTGAATAATACAATCTATCAGCATCTCCCCTACCTTTTCTTACCCATGACTTATAATGACATGATGAGATGGAGTAGAATTGTTCCATTGGGTTTCTGAGGGTGCCACATCTTGATAGTCTCATCTTTCACTTGCTCAATCACTTGTTAGGTGCCGCAGAGTCTCTTCCTACTCATAGTGACCCTGCATAGGGTTTAAGAGGCTTTTAAAATCTTTGCAGGAGCAGAAAGACTCAGTTTTCTTCTGCAGAGAGGTTGGTGAGCTTGAATCACCAGCCTTGTGGTTCACAGTCCATTGCTTATCCTTCTCTACCACTTGTTGTTGTTGTTGTTGTTGTTGTGAAGTGCTGTCAAGTCGATTCTGACCCATAGCGACCCTGTATAGGGTTTCTGAGGAGCAGCTGGTAAGCTTGAACTGCCGACCTTGCAGTTCAGATGGCTTTACAGTCTGGCGCATTAACCCACAGTGCCACACCAGGACCAGACCCTAAAAGTACTGACTTTACATATACTCTCCGGGTAGACTGTGAATTCTTTGAGGGATGTTTAATTCATCTTTGTAACTATAGAGCTAGATCACAGATGTTCAAAATAATTTCAGAATTTAAAACAACAACAACAAAACTAACACGTATTGAATGCTTGCAGTCTGACAAGCAGTCCCAAGAGGTTTACCACATTTCATTCTTTCAATAGTTCTGTGTGGTTGGTTATTTCATCAGCACTGACTTTACAGAAACTGAGAGAGAATCTAAGTATTTTCCGTGGTTATCCAGATCACAGGTGGTGGAGTGAGGACTTGAATTCAGACCTTGTGCGTAACTACCATGACCCACTGTGTATACAGAAAATAGCATCATCCCTTGTTGTATACATTACAGTTTTTTTTGTTTTTTTTTAGGTTATCAAAGTAGTGGAGATATCTGTTAGAGAATTTCAAAAATAAGGAAAATAAAATTTTGTCAATAGTATTCCTATAAGCAGTGTTTGAAATTTATTTACTTATGGTCTGTTCCTTCAAGCTCATTCTTTTGATCATTTATAGACATCATCTACATAATTTTATGTAATTTGATTCTTCTTTCCATTTATTATCTCATGATATTTTGCATATTCCCAGGTTACTGTCATAAGCATAATTTTAATAGCTGCAGAATATTTGCTCATATGGATATATTGTTATTGTTGTCATGGTGACTCTGTATAGAGTTTCTGAGGAGCAACTAACTGGGAGGCTTCAGCTGCCAACCTTGGAGTTAGCAGACCAATGCTCATCCTAAAGTGTGGAACTCTTCATGGGCACAGCATGCTTTATTTAACCATTCCCCAATTTCTAGACATTTCTTTAATTTACAGTTTTTCTTCTCTTTATAAATATTTGTGCTTTGAATATGTGACTTCTTATTTCATTTTTTAATGATTTGAATTATTTTCTAACAACAGATTTTTAATTTATGATTACAAATGTATGCAGAGATTAAGTTCATTATGCCTTTATGTTTTGATCTGGAGTATCGTGTAAACATTACTATCTATATACAAGTGAAAGAAGTTTTGGTGACATAGTGGGTTACACATTGGGTTTCTAACTGCAAGGTTTACAGTTCGAAGCTGCCAGCTGCTCAGTGGGAGAAAGATGAGACTTTCTGCTTCTGTAAGTATTTATAGTCTTGAAAATCCTACACAGGATCGCTATGAGTTGAAACTGACTGGATGGAACACAACCACCACCAATGACCACCACCATATACAAGGGTCTTCAAAAAAAATCATGGAAGGATTTTATTATCTTTCAATTATATTTTCCATGAACTTTTTGAAGTCTCATCATACAGAGTCAAAAGAACTCTGGTGGCACAGTGGGTTGAGTGTTATGTTGCAAACAGCAAGGTTAGTAGTTCAAACTCCAGCTACTCATTTAAGAGAAGAATAAGGCTGTATGTTCCTGAAAGACTTACAGTCTCAGAATCCCCATGGAGCAGTTCTAGGTGGTCCTACAGAGTGGCTGGCCATGAGTTGACTAGATGGCAGTGGGTTTGCTTTGAGCAGATATACAAGTCTGTGGGAGTGTGGTGACATAGTGATCAAGTGATGGATTGGCTGCTCCATGAATGAAAGCTGTGAGAGCTGGCTTCCATAAAGATTTACAGCCGTAGGTACCCTCTGGAGCTTTCCAGTGTGTCCTGTAGGGTCACTGTGGGTTGGAATTGATTCAACTGCAATGGGGTTTTATATACAAGTTTTGAAGAAACTTTTACCTATCAAACACTTCGTAATACTTTCATTATGATGATTAATGATATCAGGATCTGAGTGTTGTTATTGTTAGGTACCCTTGAGTCAGTACCATATTCATAGAACAAAACACTACCACGTCCTGTGCCAATGTCATAATCGTTGCTACATTTGAGCCTATTGCTGCTGCCGCTGTACGAATCCATCTTGTTGGTTGTTGTTGTTGTTGTTGTTGTTGTGATGTGCCGTGGAATTGGTTCCGACTCACAGCGACCCTGTACAGGGTTTCCGAGGCTGTAAATCTTTACAGGAGCAGAAAGCCTCATCTTTCTCCCGCGGAACAGCTGGTAGTTTCGAACTGTTGACCGTGAGGTTTGCAGCCTGATTCGTAACCACTACACTACCAGAGCTCCTTATCTTTTTGGTAGTCTTTCTTTTTTTTCTCCTACCCTCCACTTTACCAAACATGATGTCCTTCTCCAAGGACTGGCCCCTCCTGACAATATGTCTGAAATATGAGAGACTAAGTCTCGCCATCTTGGCATCCAAAATGTTTTAGTAAGGTTACTATGGGTTATTAGGGTAAAATTTTATTAAACAGTACATTATATAATATACTTGACAATTTGTCAAAAAAATGTTAGCTGATCAAAGTGAATCTGAATTTTATTTTTTTGGAAAGTTACAGATTTTTATTCATTCCTGTTTGATAATTTAGGAAAATGTGAAAGACCAGCAGTCAAACAAGGAACCATGGAAGGAGAGAAGCTTTATGCAAAATATTTTAGCAACTCAAATCACAAAGGAATAGGAAAATTATTTCTATGTTACTGTACCTTTGTGTGTGAAGCCTTTGAATTAGTTGCCATAACAGTGACCTAGAAAAGAACTCTTGCAAATGTTGGGTTGGATTAATAGGTGGGACAGGCATGACAAGCTGCACAGAGAAGGCATAAAATAGAATCATTCACTTTCACTAAGAATATATTTAAGCAAAGCCTTTATATCCTTTGTCTTAAAGATTTAGTCAATATCTGGGCATTGGTAAATAGGTAGTAAGGAAGCAGTTATTTTATTTTTAAAAATTAAGCAAGAAATGAAATTAGAGGAAAATTGAGACAAACATAATTGGCCTAATAATTCCTTAAAATAGTGGGTTAACCTAGAGGTAGACATGTTTAGCATTGCTTTTCATTTGGAAAGAGATGATAGAAAAGTTCAGAACTTTGGAACCAAAATGAACTAGATTTAAGTGTGAGTTTTGCAGCATACTGGAGTCCTGGTGTGGCGCTGTGGGATAAGCACTGGGCTGGGAACACAAGGTTATCAGTTCAGACCCATCAGTTGCTCCTTTGAAACCCTGTGTAGAGTCACTATGAGTTAGAACTAATTGGATGTCACTTAACAACAACAACCACAAAAAACTTAGAAAGCCTTGTTGTTCAACTTTTCTGAGTCTCATTTTTCTCATTTGGACAATTGGTTGTTGTTAGGTGCCATCGAGTTGGTAGTGACCCATAGCGACCTTATGCACTGCAAAATGAAACACTGCCCA